GAATTGTTTGCTGCTTGTGTTGAGCAGCACTGGTGGGTAGCTTTGACCTAGACAGGAGCTTTCCATGTGGCTTTGAAAACCTGGGATGCTCACAGCTGGGATGCGTGAAGCCAAAATGCTGTCGGCTGGGTGGACACTTTAGGTTTCCTTAGGAAGGGTGTTTTGGTTTTGTTTCTACTTTGGCAGCAGTGTATGGGAATACACTTCACGCCAGGGGTGACAGTGCCTGTGAGGGCCAGCAGCATGCCTGGACTGACCCCTGGGATGGAGGGAGATGCTGGGAGCTGATGATCCTTCAGTGCCCTGCATCCCAGGGAGCTGTGCCTGCCCAGTAGTATCTCCTCCCACTCGAGTCCTTGTTAGCCCCGCAGCTAATGCCACTGCTGCCTCCCTCGTGTGGGGGTGTCGGGTCGGGGATGGTGGGGCCAAGCGATCAGCCTGACGCCTTGCGTCGGGGCCAGTGTGGCATGGAGGGTATTTCCAGTGACGTGGGTTGGACAGATGGTGCCCTTCTCCAGCCTGGAGTGACATGTGCCCTCCCGACCAGCAGGCTTCATCCTTGTAATTTCCTCTTCGCAGGGCTCCCGGCTGGGCTTTTGTGACGCACTCCCCACACGCAGCAGGGCAGTGCTGTGTTCAGCGCCTGTCCTAAATAACCATCGCCCTGCCTGTGCATCAGTGCTCTGCTGTGCCTGGGGGGTGAGCTGCCTTGAAAATAAAAGTGCCTCCAACAAGGCTGCATGTGGCTTTGGCAGAAACCCTCCCTCTGTGCAGTGCATTGCCTTCCTCCGGGATTTCTGGGACTAACAAATGACAGGGTCCAGTGAGCAGCAGGAATGGGACCAAGCAGCGATGTGGCATCCTGCGGGCAATGAGCCAGGACCTTTTTGGATGTGGAAGGGATGGGCAGGAGGTGACAAGGAGATGGGCGTCTTCGTGGGCAGCACACTGCTCTTTCAGAGGCGGCCTTTCCTCTGCCGCCAGTACTCTCTGGCCTGTGTGGTCATGGTACAAGCCTGCGTTTAAGATTAATGATGGGGAATGCTTTCCTCACAGGCTTCGGAAAGGGGCTCAAAATTCCTGCAAATTAAGATCCTGTCAGAATGAAGGCAAGAAAAACTGGCTAGGATTGGGGGAAGTTGTGACGGAGGTGCTTTTTCCTGTGCAGGACTGCAGAGGCTTGCTGGTGCTTCCCATCCTGCTCGTCCCGGGAGCGGGCTTTCATTGGATCGCAGAGTGGTTTGGGTTGGACAGGACCTTCAGAGATCATCCCATCCAACCTGACCTCAAACACTTCCAGGGATGGGGCAGCCACAGCCTTTCTGGGCAACCTCTGCCAGTGTCTCACCACCCTCATCGTACAACATTTCTTCCCTATGTCCAAGCTAACCCCACCCTCATTCAGTTTAAAACCGTTGCCCCTTGTCCTGTCAGCGCAGGCCCTGGTCAAAAGTCTCTCTCCCTCTTTCCTGTAAGCCCCCTTTAAGTCCTGAGCAGCCGCAGTAAGGTCTCCCCAGAGCCGTCTCTTCTCCAGCCTGCACAGCCCCAACTCTCTCAGCCTTTCTCCATAGCAGAGGTGTCCCAACCCTCGGACCATTTTGGTGGCCTCCTCTGGACCTGCTCTAGCAGGTCCATGTGTGTCTTGTGCTGAGGACCCCAGAGCTGGTCGCAGTGCTCCGGGGGGGGTCTGAGGAGAGTGGAGCAGAGGGGGAGCATCCCCTCCCTCGACCTGCTGGCCACGCTGCTGGTGATGCAGCCCAGGAGCTGCTTGGCTTTCTGGGCTGCAAGCCCACGTTGCCGGCTGGTGTTCCATTTTTTGCCCACTAGTATCCCCCAGTCCTCCTCTGCAGGGCTGCTCTTAGCCCCCTTTCCTTCGACCCCTTCCTGTGGGTGGCCATCCTGTTGGGCACGTGGTGAGGTGGCACGGGGCTGCAGGTAGGACACGTGTCTCCTGGCAGAGCTGCTCTGCAGGCAGAGCCCCGCAGATGGTCTGCCCCCAGCCTGGGCTGCAGTGCCAGCCCTCACCCCCTGCACAGCCCCTGGGCTGTGGAGTAAACCTCCAGGCAGGATGGTCTGCTTGCCTGTGTGCCCTGAGGTGCAGGGATGAGCCAGTCTGTCTGTGGTGGGTGCTGGGGATGGGTTGGGGGTGGGCTGCTGCCTGAGAAAAGCTTCATGGTACGGAGCTGGAGTCAGGAGAACTGGAAGGAGCACAGAAGAGGAGTGGTACAGCGGATGCAGGGGCAATAACAGCGCCATTTCCTCTGAGAAATCTCTATGAAATGCAGCCCACCATCCAGCAGCCAAATGGTTGCACTGAGCTAATAAAGAAGGCACCCCACAGCTAAAATCCCGTGTGTGGAGGCTGCTGGCTGCAGGGGCTGTCAGGGATGTCTTTGTCACTGACGTGGAGAGGCTGATCAGGATGTTGGGAAGGAGGATGCCGTGACCTGGAGGCGCATGAGTCCAGGGTGGCATTTGCGTTGGCGACTGCATCTTCCATCACTTGCAACGTGTGTCCCCAGGATCTGTTGGCATTATGTATTTCTGAGATCCTTGGAGGGGGTGTAGGTGGGAGTTTGTGACCGCTTTTGCTGTTTGGGATAACACCGGCACAAGGCCAGCAGAAACCATGCCTGTTTGCGTGTGCTGGCAAAATGTCCCTCAGTCCATCCAGGAGTTAAGGGAGTTATAACTGCCCATCTGACAGGCTCTGGGTACCACCTGTCTTAACTGAAGGCAGTTGATGCTTAAAGTCAAGCACAGCACGAACCAAGCGGGATTTCTGGTGGCATGTAGACTGAAATGCAAACATGGATGGTAGCTACATCCACGTAGCAAGCATCCATCCATGCAGACATCCTTCCTAGCTTTAGGAGATGATGATGCTTAACTTCCTCAATGGTGAGTCCTCCTGCTCACATGCTGTGGGTGCCAGGGAAGTGCCTGCGCCACTCTGGGAGCAATGGAGTGGGGGTAGGCATTGCTCTTGGTTCATTTGGAGACCCGAGCAGACCTTTGCTTACAGCCAGCAGTGGCTGTGCTGGTGCAGCAAGGCTTGCTCACAGGCTGAACGAATGATGCAGTCAGCAGTGGAGCTGGGACTTGAGGGTGACAGCCCTTATTTTGCTAAGACGGGTTTGAGCGAGGCCGAAGCAGCCATGGCAGGGGACGGGTGGAGGAGAGGGCGGGGGTCCCTCCAGCCTGGCTGCCTGGTGGCATTGGGGTGCAGGAGGGGTGTAGCAGAGCCTGCGACCAAATCCTGCCCCTGGCCCCGGGGCTGGGTGGGTGGTGTTGGATGTGGCTGTGCATCCAGCTCTACGCTAAGCCTGAGTCGTGCTCTGGCTCTTGATGCTGGGCTGGGACTGCTGGCGGGGCACGGGAGAGGCTGGTGTGGACCTGCTGCAAGAGCAGACTGCCACATTTTGAGAGCAAAAACCTTCAGGGAAGAAGCTGTGTCCTGCCTGATGCAAAGGGCATTGCCTTCTGCAGGGAGCGTGCAGACCTCTCTGCAAGTCCTGACAGGTACGGGCATGCCTGTGCAGGCAGGGGGCCACTGACCCCGCTCCCAGTCGGTACTCCCAGCACAATGGTGTATTTTTAGCAAGGCAGGGAAGAGATCTAAGTCAAAGCAAGAGAAAGCTCTTGGTGCTCATCCTCAGGTCGATCTTGCCCAGTTCCATCAATTAAATGCACTGACCTGTTGGCAGGCTGGTAGCTTCTGCCATGCCCCAGTCTTGCTGTGCAGGCAGCTCCTGCCTGCTGAGCCCTGGCAGGGGGACCTAGTTGTGGCCAAAATGACAAATTCTGAATTCCCAGCTTCAGGGAACATTTATTCTTTGTGCCCACAGAGTGGTGGGGTAAGGGCAGCAATGTGTCTGCTTTTCCTTGTCAGGGTGTGATTTTCACTTGAGTCACGGTAGCTCTCCCATCTTGAGGTCTTTGGATAAGCATTTCACGAAGTGGTTACCAAGGCAAAGGGTGCCACGAGCGGTGGCAAGGCTGGAAGCTGAGGTCTTTGGGTGACTCCACTCAAATGAGTCACCCTAGGTTGAAAAGACCGTTTTAGAGGGAAGGATAGGTATTTCATCTGACTTATTTCGAAGTGAGAGGCATCCCTCTGGAGACCGTGTTGGCTAGCTCTCTGCAAAGTATGAAGGGGCCATGGGGTGATGTGTAACCATCTGCAGAATGTGGGACAATTATGAGATGAGCAGAGATAGTCCTCTCTCTTAAATCTTCTCCATTCCACTGACTCCTTCTCTCTAGTGAAGACAGAGTAAGAAGAAACTTTTCCATTCCATTAATTTTCCATTTCCCTCCATCGTGTATCTGCTTTGGATAATAATCTTTTAAATGTCTCCTTATACAGAGGACTGTAATTTTTCTTTCCCCTGCAAGCTCACGTCCTCTGCCTTGCTGGGACAGGAGGTGTTTTCATCTCTGATGACAATGGCACACATGCTTCTGCAGACAAGGACAACCCCTCATTTGCCTGCTGAGGCTTTACTAGTTCTGTTGTATTTTCTGTTCTCCCAACCTTTCCTGTACTCTGCAGCACCCCTTGTGTTTTCCATCGCAGCACCCCTCGTGCTTTCCCATCACAGCATCCCTTGTGTTTCCCATCACTGCTGTTTGCAGAGCCGTTGTGCTCATACGTAGCTGAGGATAGCTCATAAAGTTTCTGACTCCAGCTCTCTGTAAATGCATAGGTGTCATTAGTCTCGTTATGCACTTGCCACAGGAGGCCACTCAGTGTGGCAGCTGGCTGCAGTGGTGTTTTGCATCATGCCTTTATTGCTGGAGCTGGCCGTCCTCTGCTCTGTTGGTGTCTGTAGTGCTCTGGTGCGGCGGTGCCCGGCGCATCCCATGCTCTGGCTGGTGTTTGCCCCGGCTCCTGGGAGCACGTGAGCAAAGAAGGGGAGGATGCCCCTGAAATGGAGCCGCAAACTTTGCAGGAAGCACTTGTTGATGCCTCTCTCTCCATGTCGTTGCAGGCGAAAGACAGTGACGACGATGATGAAGTCACCGTCAGTGTGGACCGGGACCGCTTCATGGATGAGTTCTTTGAGCAGGTGAGAGATTTGTTTCTGCAGTGCAGCTTTAAACCTAGCTCAGAGCTTTCTGTTAGCGCTGGAGCAGGCTGCAGGGCTGTGGTACAGGCTCCCACCACAGGCCGGGAGCAGTGGTCGAGGTGGGGATGGGGGTCTTGCCCTGGCTGATGCTGCTCAGCTGATGCTCCGGGTCCTTGGGGGTTACGCTTAGCATGCTGATTAACAGGAACCAGGCTTCCATGCAGACCTGGTGCTGTCATGGGCTTACCTAGCCCTATGGATGCTTTGCTGTGCCACGTCCTCCTCCAGAAACCAGTGGGGCAGCTGGGCCAGGTGACCGGTCGGTGGGAGCGGGTGAGCCTTGCAGCCTGCCTGCCTCCAGCCTGCTGCTAGAGTGGACCAGCTCTCAAACCTCTCCTGACAGCACCTCTGCGGAGTAGCAGTTTCTTCATGGGATTGATTTACTTTTGTGCCTCTCGTTACCAAACAAGAGGTTGTCTTCTGGCATGTAGGTGGCTATAAGATCTGCATGTGGATTTTTAGCACACCCTTAGCATGGCATGTGTGTAGGGGGTGTTAAAATGTATCTGTGCAGGCAATGGAGTGGGGAATGAAAAAAATCTGATGTGCAGATGGAGGAAGATAAGCAAAGTGGTGGTGTGAGTCGAAGGAGAAGACAGAGCTAGGGGGTGGGCAGGCTGGCAGGCAGAGGGCACAAGTAGAGCCGTGTCTCCTTGTAGTACAGAAGTGCGGGGAAGATGCCAGCATGGAACTGCTGGCAAATGTGCCCTCCCTGGTCTGTGGGGTGAGGGTCCAACTGGGCTTCTCAGCCCCTGGAGCAAAGAGCTGTGGGGGACTGAGCCAGGACAGAGCCTGGCTTGTGCAACCTCAGCAATGTTCTCTATGCTGGAGGTGCAGAATCTGGGAATCCATACATCTGATGCTAATTTAAGTAAACCCCAAATGTTTCTCAGTGCATTGCAAAGGATACAGGACATAGAATCTGCATTACATTGCTGTGACTGCAAAGCTGGCTGCTGTGATGTGGAAGGTCTGATTTCATGGTGGTCCTACAGTTTGAGGATCCAGATGGAAAATATTTGTCCAGGAGGATGTTTGCTGTGGTTCAGATTTGTCATGGATGCTTTGAGATAGGGTTTATTAATCCCTCCCCTTTCCAAAAGTCCAGGTACTCTCACAGGAGACCTGTCGTCTTGTCCATCTCCACAGGTGGAAGAAATTCGAGGGTTCATCGATAAAATTTCGGAGAACGTGGAGGAAGTGAAGAGGAAGCACAGCGCCATTCTTGCATCGCCCAACCCTGACGAGAGTGAGTGAGCTGTGATCTCCTTGTGTCCCTGTGGGCACATGGCTGTGCTGTGCTGGGCCAGTTGTGGGGTGGCTGGAGTCAGGCAGAAGTCCTCTTGTCTGCAGGTGACCATGGCTGGAAAGCCACAAGCTGCTGAGGTGGTTGATGGCTGGGGTGAGGGAGGGCTGGGACTGCGTGGGAAGGAGGTGGAGGGATGACTGATGGCTTTCTGACCTTGAAAGGTGGTGAGGGTCCAGCAAGGCTGCTGGAGGGGAATTCCTGAAGGGTGGGGCAACGTGGAGGCTGAAAAGAGCAAATGGCTGTTTTTATGCGGGTTGGCCATTGTCTTGCCCCAGGCTGCCTGGGGAGGGTACATGGATGAGGCAGCACTTGCAGAACAGGCTGAGCATTGCCTGCTTAGCCCAGAAATGATACGGCTCTTCTTTAGGCCTGCGGTGTGCATTTGTGACCCCGCTCTTTCTGTCCTGAAGGACATTTTGTTGCTGGCTGGCCAAAGAGTCTGTCCCTTCCAGACCTTACTGATGTATCGCTGTTTCTTCCCCAGTCTTGTGTTCCTGAGGAGGTTTGTTGCCAGGAACAGAAGTTAAGGAGCACAGCAACCAAGAAGTGGCAACATTTGGGAGTCTGTGGGATCTGGCAGAGTTAGAGCTGTGGGTGATGAGCTCCCCTGTCCCCAGGTGCAAGCAGTGCATCTCCTGGGGGAGCCAGTGGAGCCAGCACTGGCAGAGCACCTGGGGCTGGTGGGGTCAACTGGGCTTCCTTAGTGCAGAGGCTTTCCAACTTTGGTGTCTGCAAAGCCCTCCCACCTTGTGCAAAGCCCAAAGGAGCAGGTGGGACCGAGGTGCTGAGCTGTGCAAGGGAGAGCAGGGGTGAGCACAGCTGAGCGGAGCTACTTATCAGTGGGGCTGGACCCTGGAAAGGCTCACCCACTGAGGGACATCATTTGAACGTCTCTGCTGCCCAAGCCTGTCCTTCAGTCTTGCTGTGAGCCCTTGTGGGCTCTCCTTCGCCAACCTCCCTCATAGTGCTGGTGGTCGCAGGGCTGATGGTTGCTGTAGGGCTGACCACTTAGGATGGCTCCAAGCTGCCAGCAGCCCTTGTCATCGGGAAAGGTGTTGCTTTCATGGGCCAGTGGGTGACTGCTGAACACTGCTCATGCCCTCCAGGCTGCAGTGTCCCTGGTGCGAAAGTGCGCTTAGGGAGCTGGGAAGCTGAGACCAAGTCTCTGTCTTGTCATCGACGCCCCTCCCATCCACTTCTCTTCATTTGCCCAGTGCAATTCCATGTCTGCTCATATCCAACTGTGAATTGTTTCTAGAGGTCCCAGGAGGTTGTCTGTACACACATTTTCTTATGTCCAGCCCTATGTCAAATCAATGAATATTGCTAATTGCTTGGAAGAACCTGGCCCTTTGGAAATTGTCTCATGCTCATGCTCCTCTCTCCTGGCACCTGCTCCTCAGCTAAAATTTACTTGGCGAAGCCTGGAAGCAAGGGTTTTTGTCAAGGGAATTCATGTGTCTCAGACTGTTGCTCAGTCATCCTCCAGGCTCTTTTAGTCTGTGCTTGCACTGTAAGATTTTGCAGTGTTTCTGTCTGGGTGTTTCCTGGGAAGAGCTGTCATTGCTTTGCTTCTGGCTGCTGGGCTCATACAGCATGCATCGACACAGTGTCCGCTCGGGGCTGAGCCAGAGCTTGGGCTGCAAAGGGCATTTGTGGCGTAAGAGCATGATAATCTATCTAAAAGTCTGAGATCTGCAGTGAACAAGATATGGTGACATTGATGTGACTTCCAGAAGCATCCAGGATGTGGAGAGTGCTCCTGGTTTTTGTTTTACAGTGTTACCTTGCCTTGGTATTGTAGAAAATTCAGTTTATAATGCCAAAAACTGTTTGGGCAGTGAAAGAAGATCCCACACCTTGTTTAGAAATTATTGTTTTGTATTATTGTGGTGTGTCCAGGAGATGTGGTGGGGCTGATCAGGTGCTCAAAGGTAGATAGGCTCACAGACTCAGAGTGGTTTGGGTCGGAAGGGACCTTCAAAGATGATCCAGTCCAACTCCCCTGCCAGGGGCAGGGACATCTCCTGAGGAGAGCGGAGCAGAGGGGGAGCATCCCCTCCCTCGACATGCTGGCCACACTGCTGGTGATGCAGCCCAGGAGATGTTTGGCTTTCTGGGCTGCAAGTGTACGTTGCCAGCTG